CCCTCTGGAATGAACTGCCCCCAGAGATCAGGGTGATCCCTGATCTCCCTTCCTTCCGCCGCGCCCTTAAGACATGGTTATTCCAGCTTGCGGGACTGGCCTAGGGGAAACTTTTAGAGGGGGTTTTAATTATAATTTTAATTAGACCAAATTACTAATATTTCCCTTTTAATCAATTTTTAAACTTGTAGTGTGTTATTTTTGTATTTTTATCCGGTTGTTAGCCGCCCTGAGTCCGTAAGGAGAAGGTCGGGATATAAATTTAAAAAATAAATAAATAAATAATAAATAGTGGATACTAGTACAAGGACTTGGGTTTATTAGATCTTGGAAGGGGGTAAACCTCTGATGACTCTGAGATATCTTTGTGGCTTTGTCTGTTTCGCTTATCTCCCATCAATGTTATCTTAACTATATTGAAAATATTTTGTTGTTTGCCCATCCTCATGTGAGAATGGAAAAATTGCAAGCCAGATGGACACATTGGAGTCTCAGAAACTATTATAGCAAGAAAGAAATAACTCTAGACACAATCTTAAGCAACTACATTCAAACTAAACCAGGAAGGAAAAGAGGGGTGCTGTCCACAGATGTACCTGGATATTTGGTTTGCCCTTTTGCCCCTCTCTAAAATTTGACACAAAAAGCCAGGTGTTTTGGCAGCATGATAGCCTCCTTTTAACAACCATCATCAGACCATGCTGTGGAAAAGGATCAGAGAACACAAGGCATATTCATAATGGCTCAGGCAGTGTCCAATGTGGGGCACAACTGTCAAGAGTGAAAACCTGGCAGCTACATGCTTTTTTGTTTTCATCTTGTCATTAGAGTAAGTGTGTTCGGGGGGGGGGGAGATGAGATTTTGAATGGGTTAGTTAGAGAAACGAAACTTCTCCAGTTCTGCAGATGTTTGCTGAGAAAGGATGTATGGAAACCTTTCCAGAACATTCTAACCGGTATGAAGAAGATAGCAGATGGTTCTCCTAACAACGAGAACTTGTTTACATGAGGTACGTGGACATCTGGGAGTTTTGGCTGAGAATGTCATTGTTATATGCTTTGGTTACATGTTTTGGGATTTTAGAGTTAGTTTTCCTTCTCCTATACCATGTCATGTACTCAGTAAACCAGTAAGATTTTCAGAAATGAAAGAAATCCTGGACTTTATTTGGATATTTGAGCTGGAGGCTGACAACAACAGCATCACAACATGCCAGCTAGATTTCTTCTGGCTCAATTTTGGTACAAGTCAAAATTGCAAAATTTTTACTTTTTTTGATATTGACAGAGAGAGGAAAATAGCAAAAAAGAGAGTCACAAATCATGGTCATTGTGCACAACTGTGAAGTGCTGCAACAGGTCATAATTGCAAGCCAGTTGTCAAGTACCTGAAATGTGACCATGTAACTGTGCAGCTCTGTGTATGTGTGTGTGTGTGTGTAAATTGTAACTTCAAGGACAGATCCTAAATAACTTTTTTGAGTCCACCATAAACTTTGGCTGTTAAGCAACTATGAACTAGTTGTATTAGTGCAGTCTATCAATAATTCACCTGCAATTACCTTAGTACTCATAATTGCTTTGATGGCTGATTCAAACTCCTCTGAATTATTATAATCCACTGTCCACACATGAGGTTTTCCAATGAAATCTTCTGCATAGGGATGCTGAGAGGATACCTAAAATGTGCACAAGAAATGAATCACTTAGCATTTCCCCTGTGGGGCTCTGGGATGGGAAACATTTCTGAAAATATGGCAGAGCATTAGAGTGAGAAGAGCTAGCAAGAGATAAGGATGGGAATAGGTTCATTTTAATTTTATTTATCTACTTCTTTTCCTGACTCTGAACATTCTTACTCCTCATTCTGCATCAGTTAATTCAGCAAAAATGAAATCTTCATGAGCATTTATCCAAATGTTGTAAAATGTTTCCTACTGATTTCAGGCACATAATTCTTCTTTGTTGTTTGTATAAAGCCAGGGTGGGTAGTTGTAGAGCTCACAAGCTCTCATCATCATTCCCATTGAGTGAGATTTTGCAGAGTTCTCGGGGATCTTAAGGACCCCGCTGTGGTTCAGAAAGCATGCATTTCATATGTTTGCACAAACCTTTTCATGGACCAAATCTTCCTTTTGTATCAGAAAAACTCTTACAATATAATTTGAGCCATTTATACATTTCTCTAGGTTATTCAAAGTCAAACATGTATTTAGCCCAAATATGGTCCAAATCTCTCAATTACATATCTATATGCTTATTGCAACATGCACAGTCACTTTTATCTTGCTTTATGCAAGCAAAAATAACACGACAGTTTTCATTACATTTCATTGTCACAACAACACATTTGAGTAATTGGTGATTTAACTTCTTTATCCTGGCCTCTGGAGCAGGCTATGTCTCAGAAGTATTGACACATTGAGTCTGGATACAAATTACCCCTTTCTGCATCAGATATCCAAATCAACAAGAGAGTTCAGAAATCATAACACAGTATGTTATGAAAAAGCAAACAGACAAAACAAGCTTGGTCGCAATATCATAAAGCAGACTAACCTCCCTTGATGTTGGCTTCCCTCTGAAGAATTCATGATTGAGTGAGCTGTGGGGTGGATTGAAACGGGCTTGCAGGAAAACACATCCATTAGCTATTGCTTCCAAAGGGGCAGGGCCTTCGTAAGGAAAACCAAAGCCAATAAAGAGCTGTGAAAAGCAAATCCAGGCATTTAGCAATCTTTGACAAGTGTACACTATTCATATATATATTCTCCTTCAGTTCCTTGCCTTGGCCAGGGGGATAGAAATTGGTGTACAGAACTCTTGTAAAACAGTTTTGATTGCTCCTCTGTCACATAGTGAGCAGAATGGAACTTATGGCTGTTTTGCTACCAGTGGGAATGAATGTTCCATGAAGTCTTTGCTTGAACCTTTCATTGACATGTTTCCTACTGGCTGATCAGTCTTCCTTTTAGTATAGAACAAGCCACAGTATGTTTTTCCTATTGCTGCCTATGTCAATTACCCTGTACTAACTTGCACATATTAATAATTAGCTATTGAAGTCTAATTTTCTTGAATAAGCCCCATGTCAAGTGATAAGTGTGTAAATGTTATCTTGTAATTTACTTTAGGCAGAGAAATGGTGAACAGTGTGAAACTGAGAAGAGCAAGTTTGGAATTTGGTTTCTTTATAGCTTCTTTCCTAGTCCTTGTGTTTTTCATTTCTTTAATCCCTGCATTGAAAAGACCTATAAAATTAAATGGGGCTTCATTCACCCTTGCAGTTTCAGATTCCACACATACAATTACAAAAAGTTGCACTCTTGAAAAAAGTGTAGTATACACTATAATAAGAACATGCCCTATGAGTTATTGAGAGTTAGACCTTGTGCTCAACCCTTGGAGGAAACTAAGTGTTTGGAACTACATCTAAGATTGTGATCTCTCACACATGTTCATAGGTATGAAGGTTACATGATCCAAATTTGGGTGGGAAATGGTGTGCAATGTCCTATGACTGATGTGTGCCCGACCTTTCCTTCCTGAAAAATAAATGTTCCAAAGTTCTGTTTAATTTGTCCTGAGTGATTCTGTTTAGTTTTATTCTGGAATAGCATGAAAACTAAAGTGATGGCTAAATCAAGCTGGATAATGAGATTTGAATTCTGCCATCCTCCATAAGGCAATCTGGTCATCTACTGATAAAGTCCTTCCCAATAGCTCTAGTGGACAGATTTTATTCCTGGAATGCAAGCTATTGTCTATCTGTGCCATAGATTCCTATGGTTCCTGAAAAAAAATCTCCCCTCTTAAACTATGTTCTCACTTCTTCAACCTTCATAGTTTGATCATTATTTGGAGCAATGTTTCCCAACCTCCATGGCTGGCTGGAGAATTCTGGGAGTTGAAGTCCACACATCCTAAAGTTCCCAGGGTTGGGAAAAATTAATTTAGAGCAAAGACATAGACTTTGCTCTTACTAGCAAATCACGCATGTTGCCAAAAGACATTCTCTTCGCTGATGTTTTTAATAATATTCCCTTGAAGTTTCCACTGTTTTTCAGCTCTGCAGTCCTGCAATGCAAGGCTATCTATTCCTCTTTCCCAAGACTTTTTGCAGGTAGAAATACATTCCCACAATTTATTTCTAGGTTCATGCAACTGCAGAAAGCAAAGTTTTTTCCCGCCAAAAGGGGCTTTTAACCAGTTAAATGAATTGGCTAAATTAACAATTAACTAGTGAAACAGCTTCCCTTTAGAAGCTGTGGGTGCTCCACCACTGAAGATTTTAAAGAAGAGATTGGACAGCCATTTGCCTGAAATAGTGTAGGGTTTCCTGCTTGAGCAGGGAGTTGGATTAGAAGACCTTCAAGGTCCCTTCCAATTCTGTTATTCTGTTATTCTTTTCATTAGTATCCACACCTTCCTCAGTTAGGGAACAGAACTATCTGGCATCAATACCTTGGCTTTTCTCAGAAGCTGCTGAAAGTCATGTTGGGGCAAAAGACCGTGATTCTTCACAAAAGCTGGAACTTCTGGTGGGCGCTGGGTTTCATAATAAACAGTGCCATGGATCTCCATGTACTTGTTAAGGATGGCTAGAAACTTCTCTTTACCCTGGAAAGGAAAGGAAAGGAAAGAAAAGAAAGGGAAGATGCTGATCAGGGCCAGCTAAGATCAGGTTTGAAATCCTGAACATTTTACTCTCTATTTTTCCTGCCTCTTTCTCAACAGGCTTTAGAGTTTCTTTGAATGCCTTTTTTGAACTTGTGAGAGGAGGTAGAGGTACTGTTCTTCCTTTTATGATATTTATGTTTTACATACTATCTCAATCCAGTCAGATCTAGGCAGTCTTCAGATATTTGACTGCTTAGGTAATCTCCCAAATTGCTTTTTCCTAACATGACAAAATCCCATGGGGTTTCTTTATGATACACTTCTTGGAATTTCATATGGAAAGATGCAATACAATGCATCTCATACACTGAGCCCTAACTAAATCAAAGGCAAGAATGCCACAGCCCACCAGAGACAACCCAAGAGCCAGGTAGCTTAGAAATATAATATATACATAGGCAAATTTTGATATATATTGTTTCTCCTTTGGGGGTACAATATAATATCTTTTCCACCAAATCTAATATGAATAGCTGAAAGAAAAACCAGTGGAAAATACATTTTTAGCAGTCTACTGCCAACTAAATTTGGGAGTAAGGATTCTGTAACACTCAAATTTGATTAAACTTACATAGGTTTTATTCAAGTGTTAGCCTTCTGCTGAAGAAACACAGAACTGAGCAAATAAAATGCATTCCAAATCACATTTGTAGATCCACTAGGGCAGGAATAAAAGAATAAGCTGTGATTTGAGAATGCTGTTGCTTCAAAACCCCACCACAGTTATAAACTCCCCCTCCGAGAAGGTGAAATAAAAATACTGGCCTACCATAGAAGTAATGTTATAAAGCAATGGATATTTGCCCTTCTGTAAGATCTTCTTTTTTTTAACGAACATAGTTGATTTAGCTTTATACTGGATATATATACACCATATCAAAAACCAAAGTTTACTTTTTAATGAGTAGGTCCTAAGATGGATGAAATTTTCATTACCTATGAATCAAACCTTCAATGTCTGAGTGGAAGATCACTCAATCCACTAAGCAGTGCAACTGCTTAGCTATCATTTAGAGCTAATGTCAATTTATTTATTTATTTATTTATTTATTTAATTTAATTTATATGCCGCCCTTCTCCCGGCGGGACTCAGGGCGGCGCACAACATACTTAAAACCAAAACATATATACAATCCCCCCCTTAAAACCGAATTAAACCGAATTTAAAGTTGTGTCTTCCAAATTCCTAAAAAAACCCAGTATAAAATCCACCCTAGGTCAGGTCCGCTTGCTGAAAGAGCCATGTCTTGAGGGCGCGACGGAAGGTAAGGAGATCCGGAATTATCCAAATCTCGGGGGGTAGTTCGTTCCAGAGGGTGGGGGCACCCACAGAGAAGGCCCTCCCCCTGGGGGTCGCCAGCCGGCACTGCTTGGCCGACGGCACCCTGAGGAGACCCACTCTGTGGGAGCGTACCGGTCTGTGGGAAGGAATCTGTAAATGTAACACTTGAAACAAACCACACTCTTGGCGTCTATAAAAAACTGGTTTTTAGATTAACTTTAGATTAACAAGGGATCTGAGTAGTTTGCTTCTGCACTTCATTTCTCCCCAAAGGATGAATCTGTACCCCAGATTTCCCTTTTAACACTAAAGATTAGCCTCGATAAATTAAATTCTAAGCACTTGAAAACTTGCTATGGATATTTTGTTTCTGGCATTTATTAGTTGATACTAATAAAATATTGCTTTAGTACAGAGCTTGGATGGGTTTTTTTTTTTTTTTTTGGCTTAAAATGTTTGTGAGTCTGTGTGTACATCTAGGAGTACAACAAGGCCCCAAAAGTAAACACACAAATTTATTCTTAATGAGTGGGGCTTCCTGTACTGTATGATCTCTATCTCTTTCTCTCTTTCTCTTTCATTCCAATTCTTTTATAACTCCCATCCTGTTAGAGTATGATTGTCTTTGATCAATGTATGTATTTATCCACAGGTTCCTGAAAAGCCTTCACAATTAAAAAAAAAAGAGTCTAAACCAGAGGTATTAAAACCAGCAATTAAAAGCCTCGGTAAACAGTTCTATTTGGAAACATTCAAAGGGTACTTTTAGCAAATAGCACATTCAGTACAAAGCTAAAGAGAAAAACAGGGTGAACCATTTATATGTTAGAAGGTGAAAGCCTCTTGAACATCTTCTTGAGTGCAGGTAGAAAATGTAGCTGCTTCTATCTTGTTTAATTGCTTTATTGCAGGAAGAAAAGAGAGAGATTTAAAAAGATAAAAAAAGAAGAAAAGTGGCATCTTGCTGCCACAACCTGGCAATTTTCCTTTTGGAGGTTCAACATGCATTAAGTTGATTAATTTGGAGCTCATCTGATGCTATCTTTAAATAATTGCACAGAGCTGGTAAGACTTCATTAACGCTCTATCTAATGCATACGCTTGCAGATCAATATATGTTGTGCAATGTTCCCAAGCATGGATCTTGTTTCTGTGCCAGCATAAATTCTACTCAAAAAAGCAAATTCCCCTTTGAGTTTAGCTGTGGTCAGCGCCAAGTAGCACTCTGAACAGGACTCTTTTCATTCCCCTTTCCTTTCTTCAACCCCTCATCTACTTCAGCCTTAAAAGACCCAATTATTCTGAAGAGAGAGCAGAGGTGTCAAAATTCTATATGGTGGATCTCAAACAGGCTCTTGCCAGCTCCTCCACTTTACACAAATTCTCCTAATGAATGCTCATAGCTATAAAGGAAGGAATGTCTCAGTATTGCTGATCAATTTGTAGAATCTGTAACAGCCACGTGGTAAAGAGATTGTGCTCAATTGCTCTCACTTCAAGAGATCAGTAATGGGCCTTAGTCATTTCAAGTATCAGCATTCATCTAATTCCTATCTCCTGGAGCAGTGTGCACAGCATCGTATACAAGTAGTCTTCAACTTATGACCACAATTGAGCCAAATTCCTGTTGCTAAGCGAGACATTTGTTAAGTGAGTTTTGCCGCATTTTACAACCTTTCTTGCCACAGTTGTTAAGTGAACCACTGCAAGGTTGCAGTGCACGGCTGTTGTCTGAATACGGCTTCCCCATTGATCTTGCTTGTCAGAAGTTCGCAGAAGGTGATCAAATGATCCCGGGATACTGCAACGGTCGTAAATATGAACCAGTTGCCAAGCATCTGAATTTTGATCACATGACCACGGGGATGCTGCAATGGTCCAAAGTGTGAAAAATAGCCATAAGTCACTTTCTTCAGCACCGCTGTAACCTTGAACGATCACAAACGAATGATTGTTAAGTTGAGGACTACCTTTATCAGCTTTTTGGAAACGGTGAATCCAAGTGAATAGGCCACAGAGTGCACCTACAGCTAAGCATACCAGCAGCTGTGAAATATTCTGGGGAACCCAGATATTTATTTTTGGGTTCCATGAACTCTATAGCTTTCTTGGAGCCTGTGAAGACTCAAATTGGGAAAAGAAACGAGGCTACCTGGCTGCCTACCTTTTCTCTCTTCAGACACTTTCCCCACCCAGTTTCAAATATGGACACATAAACTCTGAAAAGAGTTGAGGGGTATTTGCAGCAGAGCCAGCAAAGCCAACTGACAATTTAATTCCCAGATATTTTTTTTTTACATCCAAGCAAATAATTGAAAAAAAGAAAAGGGGGGAAAAAGTAGGGGGGACAGCTTTATTATTCCTTGCTGTCAGAAATTAGGCCAGCACCGTCAAGTGGCTGCTGGTCTCCTTTTGGCTGATATTTAGTAATGACTGGCAGAAAACAAGCCATCTGCCAAACAAGGAATGAGATTTACTTTTATAGCAACTGAGCCTCTGGGGTGGTGTCGTTCCAGGCCCCACCCTGTAGCTTCATCATGATCCAGATGAAAGGGAGGGGCTTGCAGAATGATGTCACTGCTGGGCAGGGCTTGCCACTCCTTGCTCTGCTTTGCTGCAGATACCCCTGGTCCCTCCAGCTGTGCAAGATGCCTTAGATGTTGTTTCAAAATGTGTTTTTGAGTATGCAGAGACACAAATGTGTTGGTACTTCTTTAATGCATCTGTGTCTTTTCTCAGTATCATGTTGCTGTTCTGTCCATGTGTGAGATGTGTTTCCTTTCATTGTGTATTATTTGGCTTACTTCAGGCAATTTTCCTCAAATGACCCAAAATTTCAACAATGGCAATAGGCTTTTCCTGGTTTAAAATTCTACCCCTAGTATTTCTGGCCATGAAATAGATCCCAGGCCTGCCACTGGACCTCACAGCGGAAACACAGAAATGTTTTAGCAGAGATTCTACAGATGGATGTTTGATGATGATTCTGCAGATGGATAGCTGAACTGAAGAAGCTTCTTGGATGAGAAGCAAAATGTCCTCAAGCTAAAACCAAGTCCAGTTGTCTTTTGAAAAAAGCATCTTTGGGATTCAAATTCATGGTTTCCTGATTTATATATATGTGTGTGTGTAACTATATATTTTAAAACAGATTAATAAACAGTCTGTCACTTGTGCTCTAGCAATGCAAAATAAGGCTTCTGTTTTGTTAGGAGAACAAAATGGAGACTATTTAAATCATTTGCTATATCTTGTGTATGTTTTGTTTACAAAAAAATGGGGTGTATGTGTCACCTCCCGCCTGGACTACTGCAACGCTCTCTACATGGGGCTTCCCTTGAGGAGCACCCGGAGGCTCCAGCTAGTCCAAAATGCGGCCGCGCGGGCGGTGTTGGGAGGGACTCGT